ATTTCTTTGTCTTTAGCATGTCAGTTAAATTCAACAAATGTTTACATACAATATCTATTCTATATAAGCTTTTTGGAGCTAGTCATTTAGCTCCAAATGAAAAATTGAGAGACTATCTGGGGAAATAATTATTTTAAAAGATATAGTGAATTTAATTTGGGATAAGCAAGATTCACTGAGCATATATTATTTATCAGAAGTGATCTGGGATGCTAGAAACACATACGATATAAGGTATAGGCAAAGCTTAGAATATGGCTTCCTAGCGCCAGTTTAAATTCTATGTCGGTCTTTTGAAAAATCACCTGCCCATCAGTACAGATTATCAAGGGAAAAAATAATTTCCCATTGAATACATTACTCTTCCCCATCATGCCTTTTGAGAGCTACATGAAATCAGCCATTATCTGGTTTTCCTAATATCCCACCAAAGGATCTAATGTCTCTAATTTTAGATGCAATCACAGACCTCTAATTGACTGCCTCCATTTATTTCAGAGAGAAAGAGAGAACTATTTTTATTATCAGCATTAAGGAGTTAAATCGCCCACAGAGAGAGAGTCTTGTGTAATGGAAACCAACTCACACACTGCAACTCCAGCCAAACATCAGAAACTCTGCTCGTTTGCCTGTGTGTGGGTTTCTTTAGTCTCTGCTGCAGGCGATTTAAGAAGTTCTATTACTAGCCTGGGTTCTGACTGGCCTTTGATGAAAATCATCTTTGTTCAGCAGCATTAGTTTCCCATTATCTTTTGGTGAGGCTTGAGATCCAAGGTCTAAACAAAAAAGAGAGACAATCACAGATCTTTATTTATCCCAGCACTTAAAGACTTGAAAATATCTTCCTCAGCAACAAACCTACAATAGCAGGCTTCAGGTGGCAATGGCAGCTTATCTATAGATCTAGAAAGATGCTTATGCAGACCTCTGCTCGAAATTCTTCACCCCACAATTGGTTAGAGGCATCCTGGCGATGCCAGTCCTCAAAGCTACTAGGAGACAAAGCTGGTCACTCGACCACAGTCATTACCTCAAGCTTTCCTTTGACTGTTTCCTCAAATACGGTATTCCCAGTTGTGACCAGCATGGTTCTCCAAGCCATCATGGAGAAGGTCTCAGTCAGCAAATTTAGGGGCTGGTCACCATGGCAATCAATACCTCACACAGATTCATGTGACTCTCCAGTTGAAAATGGAAAAGAGAATGTGAGGCAGAAAGCACTTTAAAAGCTGAGTGCAACTCCATTGTGTATATGTACCACGTCTTCCTGATCCACTCATCTGTATTTTGGCATTGAGGCTATTTCCATAGCGTGGTTATTGTAAATAGTGTAAAGAGTGCTGCAAATAGTGCATGTTTCCCTTCAAATTAGTGTTCTTGTTTTTTTTTTTTTTTTTATAAGTGGTTTGCTTTTTTTTTTTTTTAAGATTTATTTATTTACACAAGCACTGGGTACAGTCAGAAGCGCAGGAGGGTGAGAGAATTCACCAGAGCCAGAGCAGGGAGCAGAACAGGCAGAAGGACCGAAGTACACCGCTGAGGGGAGCAGCGGGCAGCAGGAGAGGTCTGCGCGCCATGTGGGACCCTTGCCTTTGGCCGGGGATCGAACAGGCGCTGCAGAGGCTGCGGGCAGCTTCGCAGCCCAGAGCCCAACTGCTGCACTACCGGGGAGGCCCGGTATTCTTGTTTTCTTTGGGTAAATACTTAGGGGTTAACAATAATGTAAACCAATGTTATCTCAAATTTTTTAAAAAGGCCCCTTAAGAGCACAAGGGACTATGGTGATGGTGTAGGGGTGAACTGGTGGTGGAAAGTCTATTTGGGGACTACACCTGAGTAAAAAAAGCAAACATTGTAAAGAAAATGAAAAAAGATGTAAAATATAAATAAACAAGTAAATAAATACATTTAAAAAAAAATTTAAAAAGGTCCTTTAAGGACGGTCAAGGAGCTGAAAAGTATATCCTCACTGAGATGAGTGCCTTCAAATAAAACAAACAAAACCATCCAGAGTGGAATTTTGATGCTGCTCCCCTGATCAGGATTTTAAATGGGATGACTCCTTCTGGAGAGCCTGTATTCCTTCCAGTTTTCAACTCCTTGCTACTGTCCCTCAAGAATTTGTTCCTTCCCCTTCATCCATATGTCACTTATAGTAGACCTGACAGTTATTACCAAGTCTTCTCCTCCCTCACCATCTCCATGTAACGACTCATCAGTAAACTCAGCCATTCAATGCACAAAGATTAGAAAGAGAAATAAGCTTATACAGACATCTGCTCAAAAGTCTTCATCCTACACATGCCTGGAGGCAACCTGGTGATGCCAGTCCTCAAAGCTAGTAAACGGGTGGCTCTACCACAATTATTATCTCAAGAATTACTATCTCAAGTTTTCCCTCATTACACTTTATCTATTACTCAACCGCCCGGCAGCCTCCTTTAATACTCTGAATTGTGCCAGTTGAGCAACAAGCAATACAGATTACATGGAATAAAAAAACTCCACCAATCAGAAAGGCCTAGATTTGAGGATGACTGCTCTGTAGCATTAGGCTAGCGTGACCCATTCAAGGGCTCACCATATTATCATATGAGCAAGTAAGTGCTGCATCCCAGGCTCATGTCTTTGTGATAATTTTCCCACTGCATCAACAGGTCCACAGAGGTTATAATTCAGTAGATGAGTCCATGACCTGCCCACCACACCCATGCTATTGACACTGCCTTTTAAAAAACTATGACATTACTGCCTCCTGTCCATTTCTAAGGCCATGGTTTCGTTCCTATGTGGGCTCATGTTCAGCATCCGCCTCACGTGCTCTAAGCCAGCAGCTGCAATGCACCAAGTTCTCTTTTGAAAATGCAAACACATTCATATCACTCACAAGTTAAAAACACTTTATGAGGGCCTCCCTGGTGGTGCAAGTGGTTGAGCACCGCACTATGAAGCTGTCCGCAGCCTCTGAAGTGTGGGTTCGATCCCGGCTGGCCGGCAAGAATCCCACATGGTGTGGCAGACCTCTCCTGTCTCACCCGCTGTTCCCCTCAGCAGTGTATTTCACCAGTCTGCCTGTTCTGTTCCCCACTCTGTCTCTGGTGAATCCTCTCACCCTCCCACGCATCTGGCCTATACCCCAGTTCTTGTAAAAATAAAAATAAAAATAAAAAACACTTTCTGACTCCTTGCCAAATAAAGTCCAAAATCCTTAATGGGGTACAATGGGCTTTTGCTTTTTGTGTCCTGGCTTCTGATTTCTGCCCCTGAGAAATGAGTTCCCATTATTGTCCTACTTGTCATCTCCTTTGCAGCCAATGTCCCCTGCCACTCTGTGACCCTGCCACATTGCTTCCCTCCACCCCTGCCTCTGTACCTGTTACCCTCACTCATGCCTTAGTTATTCAATGATCATGTACTAAAAGGATCATATATTTAAAGTTTTCTTTATACCCAGGTGCTAGGTGCTGAAGATCCAAATCAGATAAGACAGACTTCTCTGCAAAGAATTTGCCTTGTGGTGGTAGGAATTGAAGCATATGATTTAACAGGTATGATACAAAGTGATCAGCTTTTCATAAGGGCATATAAAAATATACATGCCTGAGGAGCATCCGTTAACAGAGACAATGGCGGGCACTGACGACTTCCTGATATTTATGTTAAACTTTAAAAAATAACTAGAAGCTATTAAGGGGAGCTCTACTTTTCTACACTCTCAAGGAGAAGTCTTGCATGGGTTTGGGTTCATATACAGGTGCTGGACTACTTTCCTACTTAGACTGCTAAGTACCCTCACTTCTTAGTTGATGAGATACCCATTCTCTAATTTAATGGGATTAATGAGTGGCCTAACCTCTTTGGTTTCATTTTTAATTAACTTATTTATTTACTTATTTAGGTTTGCCTGTTTGTTTTTACAGATGTGAGCAGTGACCAAAAAAAGAAAATACAACCAGTTGTTCACCCAGATAAGTGGATGTAAATGGAAGGAGCTTTGTTGCAGTGATGGCTTTCAATTATTTGATCTCCTTTTTTGCAGAGGTCAGTACACTGACCGGGGGCTATAATTGATGTTTTTAAACTCTTTCAGCATTCTGTAGTGATTCTGGGTGCAGTGACTTAGGACAAGATTGAAATAAAGTGGTGTGTTTAACAGCCACACTTTCCAGATCAGCTACTGCTTTTATTTTTATCATTTCAGTGTTGTTCAACATGGCTTGTGCTAAATGAATAGTTCCATCCCAGGACCATGCTACACTGCTGATGTGCAGGTCTTAATACACAGAAATCTAACACTAGGTATTATTTTTAAGTTATTTAATCAGATAAGTAAAATAAATAAATTAAAGTACTCCTAAGTATATTAATAATGCCCTACAAATGTATTAATGTAATTTACACCTCTTTGGAAAAAGCAGCAGTCTGCAACCCCCAAAAAGGGCTTTCTTCAGCACTTGACCATGCTGCTCCCTGATTTCCAGCCTCCAGAGTGTTGAGAAATAAATCCCTCTTGCTGAAGCCACCTAGTCTGTGGTCATACCAGCCTGAATGCACTAAGACATGGCATTGTTATTTAGCTGGGATTTGGCAAAGCCTCAGACTACAATGGAAAAGAATTAAAAACATCTGAGGATAACCATTGGGTATCACAGGAAGACCTTTCATGATGGCAAAATGAAGCCATTAAGGATTCTCGGTTCTTGTTACTGATAATCTACAGGTGTTGATCTGGCTCTCTTGTGGAGAGGACAACAATGCCATGTCTTAGTGCATTCAGGCTGCTATGACCACAGACTAGGTGGCTTCAGCAAGAGGGATTTATTTCTCAGCACTCTCGAGGCTAGAAATCAGGGAGCAGCAGGGTCAAGTGATGAAGAAGGCCCTCTTTGGGGTTGCCGACTGCTGGCTTCTCATTGTGCCCTCACAAGAGCAACGGGAATGAAATCTCTGGGGGACATATTTTATAAAAGCACTAGTCTGAATCATAATGGCCCCACCTTTGTGAGCTAAGCAGCTCCCAAAGACCTTACCTCCTGAGATGATACATCAGACATGAGGTTCCACAAGGGAATTTGAGGAGGAGACCAATTCAGAACACAGCAGGTAGGACAGGGTGAAAGTTGACACCATGTATTGATTATATACCCCTTTACCTGCTACTTCCAGATCTTGTCCCATTATCTCAGCCATGTTCCAGCAATGTACCTTATCAGCTTTTTCCCCAACTACCCACGTTATGAACAACAACAAATCTACCTGGTTTTGTAATGTTTCTTTCACAATAGACTTGTAATAATAAACAGATGGATGGTTGGATAGATGGACAAATGGATGGACAGAAGGACAGACAGACTGATGGAAAGACTGATAGATGAGTACCTAGACAGAGGTATGCATCATATACTACCATTCATAGGATATCTCTGTTCTACTTCCTCCTGTGACAAAAGTCTTAATTATCCCTGAGACGATTAGTAATTGACTCAGTGCAGAAAAGAAATCAGTGAGGGAAATAGTATAACTTACTGTCTAAAGCTCCATGTTTTATATTCTTTACCTTCACTAATGAGTGTCAATCACTTCTTTAAGAAACAGTTTAATAGTACCTTTTCTGTAAGGTCCTCCTGAATCCCGAATGTTTTATTATTCCCCCCTCTACATTAAAATATTTTGTATGCAGTTGTAGTTGAAGTAGTCACATTTTTCACCCCACAAACCCAACAAGGCATGGTTACCTCAAGGACTGTGACTTTCCCATCCTACCACAGGAACATTTAATTGGCCTGACTTTGCCAGGTGAGACTTTGTTCAAGACAAGAATATGTCCTTGGTACCTGATATAATTAGAACCATAGTTTTAATTTCAAAATTGTTACCATATTACCTATTTTCTCACTTACTAATCCATTTATTTACTCACTTACTTCCACATTACCAGTATACTCTTAGAGTGTACAGAACTGAATTTTGCCAGCCTTTTTGACTTAGGATCATTATTTAGAATAGTTTCTCAGGGCCTCTCTGCTAGTGCAGGGGTTAAGTCTCAGTGCCTTCAAGCTATCACCAGCCACTGCTGCATGAGTTCGATCCCTGGCCAGGGAGCTAACCCACCCACATGGCACAGCAGACTCTTCTGTCTCACCTGCTGCTCCCCTCAGCAATCTCAAGCCTCCAAGTTCATTCTAGAAGCATGCAATCTATCAGACAAACAATGCCTACATACATGTGGATATTGTGGACCCAATGCTATATAAAACATGAAATAAAATTTAATAAATAGATAAATGTGGAAACCCTAACAACTAGCCCAAAATAATGCCACAGAATAAATTACTTAGAAAAGTTGCTAATTCTTAGAATTTAAAACAATGATATAATCCTCCTACAACCTAGATCCTGTGACCCAAATTTACTCTATTGATTTGCATCTAAAACATTTACCTTCGAATGCCATGTGTGCCCATGTGTGTACACGCACATGTTCTCCAGTGGTGAGGACACGTTTGTAATGTAACAAACCTTGTGCTACTTGGTTGAGGTAGGAACTGGGGAAAAGGAACAGAGGAGGAAAATACTGAAAGCAAGTATCAAACATGTACACCTAGAAATTGAGCAACATCCTTGTTGGAGAAAACAGTGTAATTTTTCAACTCATTAAACATTATCAGAAATTGTTTTTTACATCAGAAGACACATTTGTTTCATGATCTGTTGAACAACTTCTGTGAGACAGTTAAGCTTATTAAGTTTTCTTAATTCCTATGAAATTAATTCAACTTTTAAGCAGCAAAACGCTTAGATATTTTTCTGTCAATGTTTTCCAATACAAAACAAAATGGTACTTTATTGTCTCATAAATATATTCTAATTTTCACCACTGGGTAGTACACATAAAAATTGTGACAAAGTGCAATAAAAAGTATTTGTTCCTTGCCTAGTACTTTAAAGCAGTAATAATATTTTATGCCTGATTTTGTATATATTAAATTTTCTTAATAGGAACTAATCTATGATGAGATGTTCTCCAGAAATAATTAAATCCTGCTTTGCAAACTATAGATGTGTCTGTTTCTCATTGCTACAATTAAGAATAAATCTAAATGTGCTGATTTAACTGCAAATTATTCATAATTTAAGTGAACACTAGATTCTCAAGAAATTGATGTTTCCTCACTATAATTTTATAGTTGCCAATTGTAGTAAAGTGGAATTTCTAGGAAAATCAAATGTACTTTTGTCAATAAGTGTATTAACACATTAAAAAGCTGTCAAGATTTTACTATAACACATGAATAAATAAAAGACGATCAGCAAGCATTTCAACAATCACCAATGAATAAAGCTATCTAGCTCAACTGGGCACTAAGGGGGAAAGCAATTGCTTATGTTATTATTATTATTTACATATAATTGCAGCAAATACTTATTGAATACCTTATGATGTTGTTTACTTGCACTGTGATTTCTATTTTCACTGGGTTTTTTTCTTTGTGCTTTGATGGCATGTTGACATTGTGCAACAGAATCTGTAATCCACTTGCCTTGTTTCTCTTAGAGAATAAGAAATAGACTTTATTTTTGTAATCTAGAACATTGCTCTTCAAACTATAGCCTATGGGGCTTCCCTGATGGCACAGGCGGTTGACTGCAGCGCTGTGAAGCTGTCCGCAGCCTCTGCAGTGCCAGTTCAATTCCTGTCAGCCTCGGAGCAACCCACATGGCGAGCAGACCTCTCCTGTCTTGCCCGCGGCTCCCCTCAGCAGTGTATTTCATCAGTCTGCCTGTTCTGTTCCCCACTCTGTTTCTAGTGAATCCTCTCACCCTCCTGCACATCTGGCCTGCACCCCAGTTCTTGTATAAATAAAATAAATCTTACAAAAAAAAACACTATAGCCTATGAACTAGGATAACTAGCATAACTTGTAAGCTTCTCTGGCATACGGAATCTCCAGCTTACTGGATCTGTTCTTTAGCAAGATCCCCAGGAGACCTGTGTATGCCCTAGTGAAGGCCTATTCCATAGCATAAAAACTCCATGTGTATGTAATTGGACATTGTAATGTGAACATTTACTGCCAAACCTGGGGATAATTGCAACTGGATTTTTAAATGTGAAAAGAATTATATCAAAATTATGTGTTAACCAACAAAACAAAACAAAAACAGACAATTATAAACCAGAGACATCCTGCATGGGAGGAGGGGGGAGGGAGATCAGAGGGAGGGAGGGAGGAGCATAGGGGATTGTGGTGATGGTACACAGGTGCATTGGTGAAGGAAATTCTATAGGGACTATACCTGGGGTGGGATGGGGAAGGGGGAAGCAAACTTTGTTTAAAAATGAACAATGATGTAAAAAATATATAAATAAAAATTTAAAAAATATGTTAACTTCAAGTATTATGTTGATGTTGGCAAACTTACATCTCTTAAATGATTTTTGCAATAAACAATATATAAGTGAATGGGCAGTTTTAAGAATAGCAGGACATCAGGATTCTTATTCCAAATGTCATTTATAATATTTGGCAGAATCATTATTCAACCAACAATGTCAGGCACTGTGAATGTAGTGCAGGACCAAAAAAACAAAAATTTCAAGGATGTGGTCACTGCCCACAAGTAAATCATGTTCTGGTGAGATATATGGGCCAATAAGCAGGTATTCATAACAAATAAAATTTATAATCACACACAGTCTGAGTGTACATAGTGAGATACATTATTCTGAAATATTGTTTCTCCAACATTTTCATCCACACCATGTTGGCAAAAATTGAGTTGTGGAGTATTCCCTTCTCTTTTACTTTTATGGAAGAATTTCTAAAGAACTGATATTAATTCTTTGATTAAATATTTGGTAAAAGCCATTTGGGTCATATATTTTGGAAACAGCTATTAGGTAAAGATTACAAGGAAGGAAAGAATAGTAGGAGGAAGAAGATTGTGCCCAAGTGCCCCAGAACAGATGAGTGGATCAGGAAGATGTGGTACATACACACAATGGAACACTACTCAGCAATCAAAAAAGATAAACTTGTACCATTTGCAGCAACATGAATAGAGCTGGAAGGAAATATGCTAAGTGAAGTGAGCCAGAAGGAGAAAGACAAATACCATATAGTGTCATTTATATAGATAAAGCACACAAAGCATTAGATAAAGCCAAACTCAAAAACTAGCCCTTGAAAGCAAAGCAAAGAACTGAGACTTTCAGAGTGGTGAGAAAAGGGAGGGAGCACAGTGCACTATGGCTGTGAACTATGGGCAGTTTGGTGGTAAGAGTGCTATGGAAACAGCACCAGAAAGGGAATCCTATGTTCTCAAAATACAAGCAAAAACGTAAACCAACATCACTTGAATTAAAACAAAAAAGATCGTTGTTATTGTCACTGTTGTTTGCTGTTTTATCTTCCATCTAGACTCCAGTTAATAAACTATGAAAGGCACTGAGGGGGCAACACAAATGCATAAGTACAGAGATGATGTCGCATGGATAGATTGAAAAGAAACCAAAAACGGCTAAAAGTGGTCCTCCCAACAGGAAAGATGGAGAGGTGAGTGTGATGTGTAATCTTAGGGAGGTATGAATAAGACATCTGTTGGGGGGGTGGTGAAAAGGAAAGGAGCATAGTCAAAAAATCATCCTGGAACACCATTCATGGTCAACATCTGCTGCTGACTGGCAGCCACTAATATTGACAAAATCTGTCAATATTAAAAATTCATGTATCTTTTGAAACAGAATTTATATTGCAACTAGATCCCAAAATTTGTGAGAAATGGCACATATTCAAGAATTTTCATTTCATCATTAAGTAATGACTTTGTATTTGCCAGGTGTGCACTATATTTTTTTCTGGGTCTCTCTAGTATTCTTTATTCTCTTGTCTTTTTGTAGCAAAACCTCCAGTGTACTCCTAAAATATATAGAAAATAGATTATTTTTCATTCCTTATGTGTTTAAAATGCCCTTCTTCCATAGTCACAATTATATTAGTTTGGTTGGTTATAGAAATCTAGGTTGTAAATAATTGCCCTTTGTCTAAAGCCTTGCAGTTCTGTGTTTGTCTTCTAAAAAAGTTTCAGAATCCCTTTTCTTCTTTCCTTATGTTTTGGAAAAGCTTCACATTTATGTGCTGTGCTGTTTCTGTTTTGTTTTTATTTTTATTTACTTCATATGTCAATATTCATTGAGTCCTTTCATACTGGAAGCTTGAGAATACTTTCATGTTATTTTCTTAGCAGTTTCTTCTCCTCTGTGTTCTTACTCTCCGGAAGTCCTTTCAGTTTTAATCAGGAATGATCTAATGTTCTTTTACTTTCTCTTCCCTTATTCTTACAACTAACAATACCACATTGTCTTAAGCATTCTACATTTATTAACTCATCTAAGTCTCACAATACTATTAAGAATATTTACTATTTTCTCACTTTACAGATAAGGAAATTAAGGAAGAGAGATGGCAGATAATTAGCCTAAAGTGCACAGTTACCAATTAGCATAACTATCCACTTAATCATTTTTCCTCTTTGGGGAGAAATTGCTTTACAAATCTTCAGATGGACATTTTTTCCCTGTTGTAGTATCATATTAATTTCCAAAGTTTCTTTCTGATTGTTGCATTTTATCTCTTGTTAATGATGGGTTCTTTTTGCAGCATCTTTATTTCTGAAATTTAATACAGACTTTGGAGTGTCTGTTCCCTTCATTACTTCTGTGAGTTTGTTGTTCTTGGTTTGTTCTCTTTGTTTTTGCCTCTCATATTAAAGGTTTCTTCAAATGATTAGTCCCTCCCAGGTGTTTTGATGCAATTGATATGAGGTGAGATACATGCAAGAGACTATTTAAAATCTCACCCAAGAGATTCTAATATGCGGATAAGCTTGAAAGAACTCTATCTTGAAGGGGAGCTTAATGTTATTTTGGGCTGGCTATTTTATTCAGGGGAGGAATCTTTACAATGTCCTTGGGTGGGGGAGGGAGGTGAGAGAGAGGACAAGGATGTGAATTAGGTCAGCTGTCTGAACCCAAGGAATGGAAGACAAGGAAAGGAATGAGAGGCTGCTTATCACTATGTGAGTAAATTCTTATTAAATCTCTTGTTTTTAATACTAGTAGGTCCCATCTGCACCCGCAAGTATGCACAATACCCCAAGTGCAGAAACCTTGTGATTTCACCTCTCCAGAAAATAAAACTCCAATCTTCTGCTAGCAAAAAACAGAATGCTTGACAGTGTAGAGGGATCCAGAAAATTTTTAAACATACCATGAGTTTCAGTCCCAGCCCTAACTTTCACCCTTGCTGGTTCAGCTGCCTGATGGCTCAAATTTCAGAATCTTTTGGATTTTGTATTTCTGCAGAGGAGATCTGCTTGTCACTAGGTCATGTCCTGCTCCCCAACTTCTTATAATAGTTAGATTACTCTTGTTTGTTGAATAAAAACCAAACATCACCTACATTCCAGTTTCTAGAAAGCTGACTTCTTTTGTCAGTGAAGCTGTCTGCCATTGTCTTTCTTCATGTAGTTGTGCCTCTTTTCCTCTTAATATAATTTATGAAAGAATCTAGATAATTACTTAATCCTAGATCTCCCCTTTATTGGCTCTAAATTCAACTAGGGATGATAGATGAAGAATGTAAACCTGCAAGTCATGGATAACATCAAAATTATGGAAGAAGATCGCAAGTAGTCTGAAGAAATCTTGCAGATATTTCATGTATCTTTAAGCCACAGGAAGAGATTTCTAAGGAGCTGGAGTTCCAACAGTCGCTGCACGTGTTCTTTCTCACGATACCTCAGGCAGGAAATTCTTCAGTTTGATAAATAGCATACAATTTTATGGATCGTTTATTGAAGATATGCCTTTCCATATTTGCCTCAGCAACTTACTAGAATGTGGATTCCTCAGTTTTGTTTGGAGTGCCTAGTAGAGAATATGATACCTACTAAGTGGTCAATTAATTTGAGAAATTAGCAGAGATAAGGAGGAATGAAAGAAGAAAAAGAGAGAGTGGGGAAAGAAAGGTGATACCTGTTCTTACCAATTTATTTGAGATCTAAAGAGAGCTGAACAATGAGACTATACAGGTTTGATTTAAACCCCCACCTACTAGGGGCTTGATATAAGCTAATTACTATGCCATCCATTTTACATAAATTCTCTTTGAGATTACTGGATAATCCTAACAGGTTAGAAATATTATCCCCAAGTTCAACTGAGAAAACAGATATTTTGAAAGGACAAATAAGTTGTCTCAGCTCATAAAGCTAAACTGAGCTCGGAATCTACTGCTTTTTCTGATCTCCAAACCTCTGCTTATAACACAGTGCTACTTGAACGTATGTCAGAAATGAAACTCAGTTCAACGTAGTTGTATTTTGCTTATACACAGTGTCTTCTAGCACATGAAGAAAATCCCCACAGCATGGAAATCAACTTGTTGAAATCAGTGTCAAAATCATGTGCAGAGCAATGTGTTCATCAGTTCATTTTTAATGACTCTCACATACCAACCAAGTCTACTTAAATATAATAGCCCTGTAAAAACAAACTGTGTCTAACCCAGATTCCTTGTACTATAATTTAAACCCACATGTTCTTCTTTTATCCTCAGGAGAAAGGGAAATATCTGATAATTGTCTTTCTTTTAATAAGACTGCCACACTTTTGAAAAATTGTAATTTATAGTGTCTCTTAGTAGCAAAAAAAAAATCTTCTCAGTGTACTCAGCATTGACCAACCTCTTATTATTTATGTATTCATCCTTTATTGGATTTATAGTGTATCTTTCCCCTGAAGAGCTCAAGGTTCTATAAGAAAACTTTTAAGCAGCAAATATTATTTCAACATAATGAGCCTAACTGTCTCCTACAGAAAGAAAGCAGAGTAGCGTAAACTTAGCCAGAAAAAAATCACTCATGCTGAACGAACCAAGCCCAATTTATAAAGGCAAAGCCCCAGAGAGGGGAATGGCCACTGCAAGTAGGGCCAGCACTGGAGCCACAGAGGAGAGGTTTCACGAGAGGCGTCATATAAGAGAAGCATCAGCTTTTCCTTCTGTGGGTGTGGGAGAGAGTGCATATGGGAGATCCAGTGCATGGGAAGAAACAGGAATGGAGGTGGAGGAGGATGAAGAGGGCAGAAGTGATGATGTGGAATGGCAGCTTCTTTAGTAAAGACAGTTAACAGAGAACAGAGGTAAAATAAAAGGTGAGAGAATTCAATAATCTACCATGGGGAACCAGGGAGTAGAGGTAATAGAAGACTGACCTGGAACTTATTTCTGATGTTGTCTATGATTTAAACACAGCCATCAATGGCAAAGATGATAAGTACCTTAGAATAGTTGTTTTCACTGAATTTCTTCACACATGCTTTGTGCTAAATACACCATGACTGCAAAGAAATGAATTTGAACATGTGGTAAAGGCTACAGTTTCCTAACTTAAGAAAAATTTTCACCTGCAAAGTAGTTCATGATTAGTGGGTGTGTGGTTCTAGATAGGAATTTGGATAGCCCAGACAGTAGTATTCATTTTTCTCCATTCTCCAAACCCTTGCACTCTATCTCAGGATTAATGTAGCCTGAGTAGACAGAAGACTTGATCAAACTTGAGATCGCATCCCTTCATTCCTGATCCTCTTTAGCACCTGTTGTGTTTAATCTACACTGACTCCTAAAGCAGCCAGACTAAAGGGCAGAAGACCCAGGCACATTGCCCTTAATAACTGACACTATAGACATTGGATGGATACAAAGCTCTAATAAGAAAATCTTGTGTAATAATCTCAGAGCAAGCACTACCAGAGTGGGGAGGGACATTTCCTAAAGCTACTTGGAATGGGATGATGGGGTGAGGCCTCTAAGAAATGCTTGAGTAATCAAAGATAGTCATGAAATGCCCTCTGGGAAGAGTGAGTCTTGTCTTGGATAAAAAAGTTTTTGTTTTAATGATTATTGTTTCTCAGAAATGCAGAAAAGCAGAAATTTTTTCCTTCCCTCTCTTCTCCCAACAGCCATATAGGAAGGTTAAGAAATTAAGCTCTAGACTCATAAAAGACCTAATTTTGCTACAGGCCTTGCTACTTAGTCACTCGATAACATTAGAAAGTCTCAGGCTTATCCTTAGGAAATGGGGCTAGTAAAAGTATCAACTCTTTCTGGGCCTCCCTGGTGGCACAAGGGGTTAAGACGCAACCTATGAAGCCATCTGCAGCCACTGCAGCACAAGTTCGATCTCTGGCCAGAGAGCTACCCACATGGCGCAGCAGACCTCTCCTGACTCACCCGCTGCTCCCCTCAGCAGTGTATTTCAGTCAGTCTGCCTGTTCTGCTCCCCACTCTGTCTCTGGTGAATCCTCTCACCCCCCACACCTCTGGCCTGTTTTCCAGTTCTTGTATGCATGAATAAATAAATCTTTAAAAAAAATAATTCTAAGGGTTCAATGAGATAATGTGTATCTGGTGCTCAATATAATACATGATTACCTATTCAGCATTCAACAGACATCAGCTTTTATCAACATCCTTATTATTGCATTATTAAAGATTGACACTCATACCAGGAATCTAGAAAACTTGAATAAGGGACTAGGAAAATGAATAACTATAAGAAAGTTAAAATCAAAATCAACAAGAAACTATGAACCAGAGACATTCTATGGGGGGTAGAGGGCAGGAGGGGAGGGATTGGGATCAAAATAAGGGGGTTGCAATTGTATGGGGAATATAAAAATAAAATTTATTATTTAAAAAAAAAAAAAAGATTTACACATTTTATCTCCCAGTCAGTAAGAGTAAGCCACATTTGACTTACTATGCTCTACACTTGAAGTTTCTTCTATATTTTTAACATTCTAAAGATTTTATTTTTTTTTTCTTTTAGATTGTTTTGTTTGAGTTTACAGTGGTTTACAACATGGTATGTGATTCAGAGGTTTAGGGTTACACCTTCTCAGATGCATGCACTCATACCATATCTACCACCAACACCCATAGTCTTCCAGCACAGTCTATTGTATCCCCTCTCACTTTGCTTCCTCCTTCTCTGTCATGTAATCTTGATTCTACAGTCAGTTTTCTGTGGTTGTCTGGTTTTACCTTACTTTTTGATTTGTTTCTCTATATTCCACACATAAGTAAAACCATATGGAAAATGGCATTTGTCTTTCTCATTTTGCTTCAAGTTCCATCCATGTTATTGCAAATGGCAAGAGTTCCTCTTATTTTACAGCTGAGTAGTATTCCATTGTATATATTTACCACATTTCTTGATCCACCTAGCTGTTTGGGGGTACTGAATTTATTTCCATAGTTTGGCTATTGTAAATAATTCTGCAATAAACATGAGAGTGTAAGTTTACTTTCATATTAGTTTTTGTATTCTTTGGATAGTTACCTAGAAGTAGAATTGCAGCATTGTGGGGCAGATCTATTTTTAAATTTTTGAGAAACTCCACACTGTTTTCCAAAGGGGCTGGCCCAGTATATATTTCTACCAATAGCGTAAGAGAATTCTTTTAGCTCCATATTCCACAAGCACTCATTTCTGGTCTTTTTTGATATGGGTCAATCTCATAGGTGTGAAGTGGTATCTCATTGTGGTCTCGACTAGCAATTCCCTGATGACAAGTGATGATGACCATTTTTCCATGTACCTGTTGACCATTTGTATGTGTTCTTTAGAGAAATACTTATTTCTGTACCTGTTGACCATCTGTATGTGTTCTTTAGAGAAATTCTTATTTAATTCTTCTGCCCATTTTTGATTAGGTTGTTTTTATTGTATTTATGAGCTTTTTCTAGATTGTAATAGTTTCTTTTGCTGTGCATAGGCTTTTTAATTTGTTGTAGTCCCATTGGTTAACATTTACAGTTGTCCACAAAAATATCACTTAAGCCAAAGATATACACACACTCAAAATAAAAGGTTGGAAAAGAACCCTATAAGCAAATGAGGGCAAAAAAAAAAAAGACTAGGACAGCCATATTTATATCAGATAAAATAAATATCCAACTAAAAAAGTAACAAGACACAGAGGTAGGCACTATATAATGATTAAGGGATTGATACATCAGGAATATATATTCATATATATATATATATATATTCATCAATATATATGCACCAAGCAAAGGACCAACAAAATACGTAAAGCAACAATTATCAAATCTGAAACTAGGCATTGACAGCAACAAAATAATAGTAAGAAATTTCTATACCTTACTTTTACCAATGTAGGTAAACCAGAAAATCAACAGGGAAACAATAACCTTAATTGAAGAATTAGACCACATAAGCTTCATAGGCATTTATAGGATGCTGTACCCAAAAAAAGGTTGAGTACATGTTTTTCTCAAGTGCACATGAAACAGTTTCCAAGAAAGACCACTTGTTGAGTCACAAAAGAAGTGTCAATCAATTCATGAAGATTGAAATTATGTCAAGTATATTTTCTGATCATAATGGTACCAAAGTAGAAATCAACAACAAAAAGCAAGCAAAAAAAAAAAAAAAACACTAATATAAGGAGATTGAACAACACACTAACGAACAACCATTTGAGAAATGAGGAAGTCAAAGGATAAACCACAAAATGCCTGGAGATGAACAAAAATGAAGACATGCTCCGTAAGAATTTATGGGATGCACCTTAGCAGTGTATTTCGTTGGTCTGCCTGTTCTGCTCTCTGCTCTGGCTCTGGTGAATTCTCTCACCCTCCCACGCTTCTGACTGTACCCAGTGCTTGTATAAATAAATAAAAAAATCTTAAAAAAAAAAGAAATTATAAAAAAAAGAATTTATAGGATGCAGTAAAAGAAACAAGCATAAAGCAATAAAGACCTACATCAAGAAACAGGAAAAACTTCAAAGAAACAACATTACCTCTCACCTTAAGATACTAGAAAAGAAGAGCAAACAAAACCAAAAATCAGTAGAAGGGAGAAATGATTTAAAAAATTGAACCAGAATAAAGTAAGTGTCAAAAAGACAGCCCATAGGATCAATGAAACCAAAATCTGGTTCTTGAAAAATTCCACAAAATGACAAACCTCCAGCCAGACTCACAAGAAAAAAAGGGAGGGATCTAATAAACAGAGTCAGACACCAAAGAGAAGTCACCCCAAACATTTCAGAAGTACAGAGGCTCATTGGAGATTATTCTATGCCAGTAAATTCAATAATCTGGATGAAACGGACAGATTCTTAAGAGCCCATTGTACAACCCTCCAAAACCTTCTTCATTTTCTTTTTTTTTTTTTTAAAAGATTTATTTTATTTATACAAGAGCTGGGATACAGGCCAGAGGCGAGGGAGGGTGAGAGGAATCACCAGAGACAGAACGGGGAGCAGAACAGGTAGACAATTGAAATACACTGCTGAGGGGAGCAGCAGGAAAGAGAGGAGAGGTCTGACACGCCATGGGGGTATCTCCCTGGCCAGCCGGGAATCAAACCCACGCTGCAGAGGCTGCAGACCGTCTCACAGCGCTGTGCTCAACCTGCTGCACCAGCAGGGAGGCCCACTTTCTTCATTTTCTTCTCAGCACCAATATTTTAGATATTCATAACAATTAAG